TGCGGGAATCCAGGATGGCGGCGGCCGTGGTCGGAGTCTCCTTGAGGCGCCGCATCCCCGGGCCGGTGCTGAGGGCGGCCGCGCTGCAGGTGGGGGCGGGGGCTGCGCCCGCCTGGCGTGTGACGGGCCGCAGCGTGATCGCATCATCGCTATTCGTCATAGTAGCTGCTATATTATGATTAATTATATATAATATTATTATTATAGGATATGCTAATCTATATAATGACACTGTGTTGATTTATAGCAATGTCCTGCATATAATATAGCGTAAGTGTAACCTAATATCATATAATACGTATAATATATACTATAAGTATCTATCTCGTTATGTTATGTGCCGTGCATTGCTATATACTAGCATTGCATCGTTATGTAATATAACTTATAGAGATACGTGCAGTGCAGTCGTGTGTATATACATATATAGGAATGTAGTATGTAGTAATATTATATATGATGCATCATATAGTATCATGTACTATTAATGTGCCATCAGTAATAGACATTAATAGCACATTATACCATAATGTGCTACTAATATGGTATAACGTGCCATTAATGTGGCATCGTGTGCTATTAATGTCTATTAATGTGCTACTAATATGGTATAACGTGCCATTAATGTGATATCATATTAATGTGCTGTGATAATCCCTGGCAGAGGCCGTGCCCCCGCGGTAGGGGAAGGCTGGGCTAGTCTGACGGGGGGGGATCCCTTCCTGCCCCCAGCACAAGTGGGGCCGAGCCCGAGCAGACGGGCAGGACCCTCTGGGTCTCCCTCCCCAGGCTGCAACCAGCACCTCTGGGGGAGGCTTAAATCCCCCCGACTCTGCTACTCACCCACCTCCCTGCTACCAAAGTGTGGGAAACCCCCCCCAGCAGAGCACAGGCGCTGTGGTGTCTAAATCAGCCCCGATGAGGATGCATCCAGCTTCTGCTTGACCCTCTTCAGTGGTGGAGAGCACGCAGCTTCCCCAGGCGTCCGTGCCACGGTCTACCAGCGAAGGAGTTTGTCCCGGTCTTCAGCCTAAATGCGTTTTGCTGCAGCGTCAAGCCGTTGCTCCACATCCTCCTCTCTCTGGTGATGAGCGCTGCTTTGGCAGCGCCGTCTCCATGCCGGTTTGATGCATGCGGAGCTGTGGGTGTGAGCCCGCCGAGGAAAGTGCTCCGTTAGTAGAGGGGGTCACTCGTTGTGCATCCGCTGATGCCGTGGGGCAGCGCAGGTGAAGACGGGGATGGGAGCAGGGGTTCATAACAAGTGCTGCAAAGGGGGGATGTGAAGCAAAGTGCACCAGCCAGCGACCACGGGCCCTCTGATGAAGCCAGGCAGCCAGTGGAGGCTGCCCAGATACATGAGCAGAAGAGGAGTAGGAAGACAGCCTTACAGTTAGTGGGGTCATCCTGGCTAGGGCCTCCATCCTGGTCTGCCACATCCAGGCGTGTGCATGCCATCTGTGTGCCAGACTGATGCCAGCCGTGCACAGTCACCAGCCCCAGATCCAAGACAACTTTGGAGCTGAGCTGAGTACACCAACGGGCACGCCTGCCGCGCAGCCCCTGAGAGCGTCCGAGTACCTGTTCAGCAGTGCTCAGAGGTGGCTGCATCGCCTCCTCCTTGGGATGTGGATGCGGCCTGCGTCCTGGTGGTGGTGCTGCCGACCAGCTCTGAGAGGCTGTTCTGTGATTTGGGTGCAGGTCTGCCGTGGGGCACAGACAGCAGCTGCCGCAGCTTCCGCTCCCCAGACAGAGCCACGGATCAAGAAATTTGCTATCTACAGATGGGATCCGGACAAGCATGAGGACAAGCCCCACATGCAGACCTATGAGATTGACTTGAATAAGTAAGTATGCACCTCGAAACTTGCACATGCTTGGCACTTGCACTCGGCCAGAAGGCTGATCTGTGCAGGTTACGTCGCCTCTTGGTTTTGGACCTGTGAAAAAGCATTTAAGAGTGTGGCTGTGGGCTTAAGTTAGACCTTCTCTAGCTGCTGTTTGGAAAACACTGTGATTAGTGCAGCATGATCGTGCCTCAATAGTGCAATGTGGTTTTGCCAGCATAGATGAAACCAAATCTTGTATTTAGGCTTAACGACCCTTAGTACAGCCACCAAGTAGAGTTTCCTTAACTGGATGGTTACACCGGCCTTTCACGTGCAAGCAGAATTGTCAGGGATGCAGATTCCAGCTCGGATGTCTCCCAGCACATTTAAAAGTGCAGCTTTATTTCTCAGTGTCTGTAAGCTGGTGTCCCCAAGGTATGTTAATGGCACGCGTGTGCTCAAGAGTAGTGTGACTTGGGGACGTGACACAGTAGTTATGTGTGCGCTTAAATGGAGGTGCTACTTGGCCCGTAGATTGAGAAGGTGATTCTGCGGAAATGATGGAAACTACGTCGGTCCTTTCTACGACTGCACACGTGCTTATGCTGCTTAATGATGCGATTCATAACTCTAGATATTGTGTAAATTCTTAGCTACTTTTTGAGCTATGAGCAAGAGCATTTTTCCCCTCTGCAGTTAGCAAGAAGGGTACAGCCTTCCTCTGGGATATGGAAACCTTTGTACAGTTCCCCATGCCTTTATTTTTCATGACTTGATCGCCACGGTGCTGTTTATGAAGGGAGCCGCCTCAAGCTCATTTTGAAACTTCCAGCTAATGCACAATGTAGCTTATTAAGCAGCAGCTGATAGAGAGAGCAAAGTACATTGCGCTGTGTAGTCAACAATATCTTCTAAGTTCTGGGTGGAGTTTCAGGTTTTGTGTTCTTATCTATTACATAAAACCTTGTCCAAGCTTCTCTGTTCATGTGTACAGTTCAGGCATGGTTGTGAATGAAGAGAGACAACCTTGCAGTGTCCTGGATTGAGAGGGCTTGAGTGGTAAAGGAAGAGAGAGAGAGAGAGAGAGGTGTTTTCAAATACTTGTGTTCTATTATAGGTGTGGGCCTATGGTGCTTGATGCTCTGATCAAGATAAAAAATGAGATGGACGCCACCTTGACCTTCCGTAGGTCATGTAGGGAAGGTAAGGCATGCGCCTTTTTTTTTCCCTCAGTCTGCTGTGTCGAGGATGATTCAGTGCACTGTGTTCTCACAAGATACTTGTCCAAACAAAGGTGACTGCTGAGAGCAAAAGTAAAGCACAGCACACTTGACCTGTCTTTGATTCAAGTGCTAGATTCAGATCATTCGTTAATGGATCAAAACGGTCATATGATCTGTGTTGTCTGGGCACTTCAGGCAAATGATAGCCCTTGAATTCATTTTGATTGACTGGAAAGGTTGGAAAAGTTGTCAGAAATTGTTTGACTGGATAAAATGATGGCATTAGGGAATATCAACGGTGGTGGTGATGGTAGGATTCACTTCTGGTATGTGTGGTTGTATGTGCTAGTAACAATCCCACTATGTGGGATACCCTGAAGTATAAGGGTTTGCAGGGAGCTCTTACTGCTTCAAATCTGGAAAGATCAATTGGAGGAGACTTTCTGTAACAAGTAATTAATTGCGGAGGACTTGCAAATACTTATGTTCAGGTATTGCAGAGCGTTTGATCCCTTTTTAAAACCAGAAGGGACCATTGCGATCATCACCTAGTCTGATTTTTCAGTGTAACGTAGACCACAGAATGTCCATGAATTAATTCCCTCGTCAAATGCAGTAGCTGTAGTTGAAATAGATGATTTTGAAAAAAGAAATGCTGTTTCAGTTTCTAGTGATGAAGGATTTACTGCAGCCTTTGGTAAACTGCTCAAATGGTTAGTTTCCTTGCTGTATTCTAATATTATTATGACTTACTAAATGGAAGAGCTTCCTATTAAATTGCTTTTTGCCCTGCAGATACTTAAAAGGTCACTTGATCACACTATAACCTCATCTCTGATAAGGTAGATAATTGGAGTCCTTAAGGCACACTTTCCAATCTTCTCTTCGTTCTCATGGCTGCTCTTTGAACCATCTTTAATTTAGCATTACCTGCCTTGAATTGTGGATGCCAGAACTGGACACATTTTTCCAGTAGCAGTCACAGCAGAACCATACTCGGATAATGGAGCCTCTCTACTCCTGTCTGTATAGCCAAGACTTGTATTGGCATTTTCAGCTCGTGTTGCACTGGGACCTGCAATACAGGATCTATTTTACTCTCCTGCCCTCTTTGTTTATTTGAGGGACTTTTTCTCAATGTAAGAATTAGCCTTTCAGAACAGACTGCTGTTCCATCTAGTGAGTGCCTTACTTGAGAGTAGATTCTCAAGAGCAAAGTGTCAGGAACTGTGGAAGGGGCAATAATAGAATAACCTGCCCGTAAACGAAGTTTCTTCCTAGGCATTGAGACTCATTGACTGGCTTATCCCTTAAACCAAGGTTTTTAATGTCCCTCTAAGATGTTTTTTTTCCTAATGCATTAATGTGTTGCATTTTCCATATAAATGATGAATCCTTTTTACTGAAAATACCAAGCTCTTGTCCACTGTGCTAGCAAACCAAAGGTCAGCAGAATTCCAGTTATGTAAAAGTGTTCCGGTTTGGCAAGTCTGAATTTGTTACTTTAGCTACATTGGCTGTTTTTTTTGCACGCACGTTACTGGAAGGCAAACAGCAGTATCCACCAGAGTGTGTCAGTGCGCTGCATTATTTTATAAAAACCTATGTGGTCTTCTCACTAAGCTAAACTTCATCGCTGTGTTTCAGACCCCTCCTCCTCCCCATGTGAAAGAGGTTTTTTATGCCTTTGTTTCTTTTAATCAATCAGCTTGGCACCTCTGCTGTTTCTGCTGCAGGTTTGTTTGGTTTTTTTGTGGGGGGAATGAAGTGCCTGAATACAGGGGTGTTGTTTGTTGCT